TATTTTCACATGGTGTTTGCAGAAAAATTATGAATAAAAGTTTAAATTGTGGGCTACTACCCTTTCGCCTTACCCAAAACTTACAGGGCAGGCAGAGGTGGGCATAAAGGAGGTAGTGAGGTGGGGTGCACGGCTGAAGGTGGCCTAGCTCTGCTCCCTGAACCCAGTGACCTGTGATGGTCTCAGGAGATCCTCCCGCGGCCAGGCCTGAAGGAATAGCCAGGGTCTACTGGGGGCTCTGAGTCCCAGGGCCTGGCTTCTGAAGGTGGAGTGCTGGGAGACCAAGGTGGGCGGCATGCACCATCTGCTGTTTGTACTGCAATTGTTGCTGCTAGGCGCCCCCTTGACCCCATGGCCCGAGGCTGCCGAGGCCAGGGCCACTGGTGCATGGAGTGCTTGGTCTGCCAGCTCCTGCTGGATATCAGCACAAACAACATTACTCAGTTGCTGGAAGATGCATTTAAGGACTTCCCTCTCCTAAAGGAGCTACAATTGGCTGGCAATGACCTTTCTTTCATCCACCCCAAGGCCTTGCCCGGATTGAAAGAATTTAAGTTCTTGAGCTGCAGCTGCAAACAGTCCCCAGCGAAGCCATTCACAGGTTGAGCACCGTGCAGTCCTGGTGCCTGGCTATCAGCCACCTCACCTGGGTCCCTGAGGCCAGTTTCAAGGGGCTCGTGCAGTTGCCACACTTGTGGCTGGCTGACAACAGCCCGATGGGGGTGCCAGGGAGTTCCCACAGCAACCTGCCCGTCCTGCGAGTGCTCACCTTGGCCCTCAACAACATCTCTAGCATCTCCCAGGCTTCACGTTCACCGACCCGCTTATGCTACATCTTTATAGGAATAAAATTAAAAGCCAGAGTCAGTACTGTTTTGATGGCCTGGAGAACCCGCAGACCTTCAACTTGAATTCTAGTAAATTGGAAGAATTTCCTGAGGCTATGAAAGTCCCTCCTAGCCCAAAAATCCTGGGGTTCTACTGTAATGCCATTTCTGTCTTCCCTAATGGAGTGTTCAGTGGCAACACTCTCTTGAAAACTAGCATTTATAGGATAAACTTTTAACTTCTGTGAGCAACTCAGCTTTTCTGAGGTACCACAGCAAATCACACAGAGAAGTTTTAAAAAAAGAATTAGGAAGTGTTATGTATGTGTAACATCCCATGAGGACTGTATTCGTTATATACTAATCAAAATTAAAGGGCAAAACTAAAAAATTTTTACATGATAGCATAGAAGAAAATTCTGGTGACCTGTGGTTTGTTGATAAAGTTTAAGCACCAACTGCACCATCCATTTGAGAAAAATTGCTAACTTGGACCTTGTTGGAAATAAAGCTTACCCACTGCAGAAGACATATTAAGAAAATGAAAAGATAAGGCCTAGGCTTGGAAAAAACATTTGCAATTGACATTGACTATAAAAGGGTTTTATCCACAACACCCACAAAAAAAACAAACTCTAACATCTAAACCACAAGGAAACAACCTTCCAGCTGTGGTGGTGCATCCCTGTAAACCCAGCACTGAGGAGGCTGGAGCAGGGGGATTGCTGTGAGTTCTATGCTAGCTAGCCTGGGCTACACAGTGATTCCAAGCCAGCCTGAACTACATAGCAAGACTTTATCTCAAAAAAAAAAAAA